TGCTGGCATGCGAGAGGCCCAGATGAAATTCCTAGCTCTGGACTTTGGCCTGACCCAGCTATAGCCACTGCAGTAATTTGAGGAGTGAACCAGCAGATGGAAGATCTCTTTCTCCCTGTTTCTGTCACTCTTTCAAAGAAATAAGTCTTTTTTAGAAACTTAAATAAAAATATTTATTGTTTGCCCTGGAATGCCAATTTCAACAATTACCATCTTAAAGATCACATTTTAATAATTTCTACTATTTTAGTCCTGGCCAGAAATTTGCCACTAGCATTGGACTTCCAGTGTGTGAATTATGCATGTTCAAACCTCTTTTACCTTACTTACTTCACCAGATAACTGGAGGTAATCATGGTAGAAACTTCATGGTGCTGTAGTAAAAACTAAGTGGAATAATACGCACAAACAGAATGTAAGTTACTAATACAAATGTTTTGAGGTATTTTATTGTTATGGCAATGATTGCTGTTAACTTGTGAACATTCTCTATTATGTCTGTTTTCCCAAATCACAGCATGTTTTACAATGAAGCAAAATGATCTCCATTGAGATTTGTCTCTAAAAAATACATCACGTGCTTGTTTGCCTTTTACATATATTCTCATAGATGAGCTGTATAACAGAGACTAGCATACCAGGAAGTGAAATGCTTCACAGTACGCATCATCACTCATTAATGAAAACAGGACTCTCAATGAATCAGTTAAATATATCTTTACTGTACAATATCGGATTTTCTACCTTTGCCTATTCCTACAATGCCATGGTTCAATTAAATAGCAGAATGTTAAACTTGTGATTGTTAGTAAAAGACTATTACACTGTAGTAATATGGGGAAAATGCTAGGAGGAAAATAGGGAGGGAGAAAGGGGGGAGGAGGGAAAATAGAGAGGGGGAGGAAAGAATCCTCTACCTGCAAAACTGTATCATGGAAAATGATTTTACTTCTATAAAAAAAAAACCCACATCATTTGCCAGCTCTATACATGGCTACAATACTGTTGGGTTACAGTTTCTAGTGCTTAGTTTTTTTGGGTTCTTGGGGGGTCACCCTGACTGGGCTGTAGTTCCTGTGTGTGAGGGTGAGGGCCAAGTGTGTAGTGGGCTGGTCTGGGCTGCAGTATCCATTGGTTTGTGTAAGAGATGGGGCTGGAGATATAACTGATCCAGCAATGGAACTACCAGTGTGTGCATAGGCTGATGTGGGTGACTGACTGAGCCAGACCCCATCCCGGCAAGAGTGAGGTCTGGGATCACCTCAGACAAGGTCTCTTTAGGAGGCTCACACAACTGAACCGCTGGACTCATAGCTCCAATAATCGGGAGAATTTCATGCCTGGTGGACTGACAATGGCATGTGTCACAACTGTGCCTCCTTAGCAGCTAAGATGGAGCAGTGACAGCATGACAAGATGCATGTAGAGGATATGGCAGTCCATTGGAGCCTGCAAAAGACATCTGGTGCCATTTTGGAGGAAGAAGGGCAGAGCAAATTGAACAACTACCCCAAGCCAAGCGTTCGCAGCAGATATCTGGTCAAAGGGAGACACTAAGGTGGACTGTGTCAGCCAATGGACCTTGGAAGGATTTTCTCATCTTTGGATCTGCGAGATCAACAGCATTTCAGAACTATTGAAATCACTTATGCAGAATTCTCACAGCATGCTCCACGTCAAGGACCCTGGGATGGCATTGGGTGGCTGTTCCCAATCCCCAGATACAACTGGCTTCTGAGCCTGTGGTTTAGATACTAAACCAAAATTCCAGGGCACTCAGCAGGCAGAAAATAGCAGGGGATTCTTCTTTTTTTTTTTTTCTTTCTTTTTTTCTTAACTCCCTGAGCTTAGCGTTTGGAGAATTTGAAAGTGCGGGTCTTGGACACTACGCATGACATTTGAAGGCAAATGTTGTTGTGTGGGAATCCCTTGCTTCTCCTAAGAGGCAGGAATTGGGAGTTGCTGCTCAATTTTCCTAGAGCAGGGGGAGAACAGTAGGGGAATCCTTAGAGGACTTGGTGTGTGCCTCCTACAGTTGGAAACATACCTGCAGCTGTTGCTCTCACTCAGTGAACCACAGCATGGCCTGCTGCTTCGGGGTTGGCAGCAGAGGGTCTATTTGTGCTAACTAGACTTCTGGATTCTGTGGGGGTGGAAAATGTGGGAGTATTTCTGGGGAACACAAATTTGGTAATAATTGGGATTGGCAGTTATCTTTCATCTTCTCTAACATAACTGCCTCAAGAATCTGAAACTTTGGCAGGAGGAGGCTGAGGCCAAGTAAGAGACCACCCACAGTGGATGGAAGGACATTTTTAGTGACCCTACAAAGTATCCTAGCAGCTTCAATGGTCACGTGGCCCAGAGAGCCCAGTGCTAAAATAAAATACTTTTTCTTCCTCCTCTCTGATATTGAAAAAAAAAATCAAACATTTATTTTCATTTTATTTGAAAGACAGAGAAAATTCTATCTACTGGTTCATTCCCCCAAAGGCCTATAACAGTTAGGACTAGGCCAGATCAAAGCCAAAAGCTTAAAACTTAATCTGGGTCTCCCACACGGATGTTAGGAACCCAAACAGTTGAGCTGAGCCCAGGATACACATTAGCAGAAAGCTGGAATCGAAAATGGAATTGAGATTCAAACTGAGGTGCACTAATACCGGATACAGCATCCCCTGTGGTGTCTCACATCCTGTGTCAAATGCTTACTTCACTTCCATGTTTTTATCCCTTCCTCTGCCTGGATCCTCAGTAGACACCAGTTGACAAACTGGTATAGCAAGTGCAAAGCATGAAGCACAAAACCGAGAGTCGCTCTTTACCTTGACCTGCTTGGGAAAGGGCACTGGATCTAACCGAGGACATTGTGAGTTTTCATTCTTATTCTGGACTAAAAATACTAATTTTTTAAGTGGAGGATCTTTTATTATCAGAAGGTTACCAAAAAATCATAATAAAGCTGTTCTGAATTTCGTCTAGGAGAACAAGTAGACCTAGTCCCTAGAATGAAACTAAATGGAATATTTATATTATTTTGAAATCATTTCCTGTAAGTTGTACTTGCTTAATATCATGATTACATAGCTTACTTAATCATGCCATTATTTTTATTGGTTTACTTTTGTGACAGTAAGATACTGTATCACATTAGGTCTGTATATATTTCTGTCATTGTATTGTGGATTATTAAAGAAGGAGAACATTCTTATATGTAAATAATCACAGATCGCTTCTTAGAGGGGTCCGTTATCACTGCATTTGCATGAAAGTTTCAGACCATAAGAAATAAACAACAATGATTTAAAAATCTTTTTTATAAAAATTAACAAAATTTCACGGCAAAAGAAAAGTCCTGTTCAACTAATTGTGGCTGAGCAGACAGAAAACAAAATTATTAAATAATTTGTTTTGTGGATTGTAAAATCTATAGAATTTTCTCAAATATGAATTGCAAAATACTGCTTTTGAAGTATAAGGCAGCACAGAAATTTTGCATTTATTTTAAAGTGTATTAATTTTGGAGATGAAACCTTTTAGAGGTTTATGAATAACCCTAAATTTACTTGACTTGTATTAAGTAAATAGAAAGCTACCATATCTCCTCCAACTTAAATGAGATTTTTAAAAGTACACCATGAAATAATAGAAGCATACTGAAACTTTTAAAATTCCTCAGTGGAACCCAGCATTGTGGTGCAATGGCTTAAGCCACTGCTTGTGACACTAGCATAAAATCCCATGTGAGAGTGCTGGTTCATTGCCTGGATGCTCTGCTTCTAATCCAACTGCCTGCTACCGTGCCTGGGAAGGCAGTGGGTAACTCAAGTGCTTGGGGCTCTGTAACCTGTATTGGAGACACTGATATTTTCTCTCTCCTGAATTCACCCTGGATAAGCCATAGTTGCCATCATTTGTGAAGTGAACCAGTGGATGAAGGTTATCTTTCCCTCACTCCCCCATGCCTTTACTTTGCCCCTCCCTCCTTCTTGTTCTTCTTGATCTCTCTCTCTCTCTCTCTCTCTCTCTCTCTCTCTTTGTCTCTATCTCTCATACTCTATGTTTGGTATAAATAAATAAAAACCTAAATAACATTTTTTTATTAGGATGCAGAATGTAATTAACTAGGTCTGACACAGTGGCTCAATTACCTAACCTTTCCCTTGTAAGCCCCATGTGGGCATTGGTTCATGTCCTGCTGCTCTAGTTTCCAGCCAGTTCCATGCTTGTGGCCTGGGAAAGCAGTCAAGGACAGCCCAAAGCCTTGGGATCCTGCATGCACATAGAAGACCTGAAAGAGGCTCTGGGCTCCTGGTTTCAGATTGACTCAGTTCTGACCATTGTGGCTGCTTGGGAAGTGAATTATCTTCATCTCTGTCTCTCCTCCTCTCTGTATATGTGACTTTCCAATAAAATAAATAAATATTTTTAAAAAGTATTCTCATAAAATAATACTAATATATACATAATTTCTAAAAACTGATTGCTGTAATTAGAACCCTTTTTTTTTCCTTTTCAAAATGTAAAATATAAGCAGACATTAGCATTATATTTCCCAGATTGGTTAAGTGGGGATTCTGAAAAATAAGCTTGAGTACACAGACTGTCAAATGTTTGCGTATAGGATCCTGCATCTAGAAATCCTTCTGCATCTTAGTTTCTGTGATGTTGGGTAGTTTGCTTTCTGTTATATTTTTTAATGAAAGTGATTTCCGGCTATATTTTCATGTGCTAAAATAATCTTTCAAAATTGTGATGGTCTCTAATTCTGTTTTCAATTATCAAATTAAATTTGAAAGGCCAACCCAGAGTAGAAAGAACATCCCTGGCAGGTTCACCCATGCAGCTGAAATGTAGCTTCTTTCTCTTTTGGAAAAGGATATGTCATCTAAGAGTTATGCAATGTTGACTGTTCACAATTTGCATCTTAGGACACTAACGTTATCATCACTCTGTGAATTCAGGGGTCAATCTCAGCATGTGCAATAGGAGTTTCCTACCTGGACCAAGCTATATCCTGTGCGCTGGACCAGTGCGCGGAGGGCTGCTTCCTTCTGGGTGCCGCTCAATCCATCCCCGGATTTGTGATTTGATTCCATTGACAGTGATTATCAGCAAAAAATCAGGTTTAATTAGGGTTGCTCACTGAAACCAAATTTGAGATAAATTAAGTAAATTACTATCATCAAGTCCAAACTTGACCATCTCATGAGGGTTAACTTTAGGAAACATTGTCTATCAGCGTGTCATGAAAAATGGAGCAAATAATAGCTGCACATGAACAAGGCAGGTTAAATGGATTCATTAAAAGAGATTTTTTTTTAAAGTTCAACTCCAGGTGAAATTCAGAAGAACAAACAACATACATTCCCTAATTAGAATGCAGATCTGTAGTTCTTATTCCAATGGAAAATGACAGTAAATGTCCTCCTCAATTATGATAACTAATAATGATGATCTTTACAGATGTGAGAGAACACCATTAGTGAGACAAACCAACTGAGTGCATCAAGCTTCTCTGAGATTCAGTCTCATTTGTCCATTCTTCACGCTCCCCAGGACAGCTGCCTACTTCCTCTCCAAAGATAAATGTTCAGCACAGAGTGTGCTGATGTCAGATGTGCAAATGCCCTGTTATCAAATCTACGTGGGTCTGAACAAAAGAACAGTGAATTCTTTCAATGGGAACCATAAAAAAGACTACTGATACTCAGACCATATGCTCCATACACCAGTCAAGAGTATAGAAACCCTTTGTAAAATCAAAGAAATGATTAAAGTTAAAATAGACATGTGTTTCTGTTGAGGGGGTTGTATCCAGCCTACAGGTTGAATAACTCCCAGGAAATCATTTGGTTTGACCCTGCTTAGGAAACTGAGGTGGAACTACAAATTTGTTAAATCTATAACAGACTAACTTTTAAGTTTTATAATCTGAATGGCTCACAAGTGATTTTGTAAGTATCCAAATGACCCTTGATAGAAAAGAGGTTCCCACTCCTGATCATATGTAGATACGCAATTGTGACAGTATGTTTTCTACATGCTCTGATTTGGGGATGTGAACTAAATGTCATGGTTACTTAAATCCACAGGTTCCCAAGACAAAGATAACAGCCATTTGGAAGATTCTGGACTGTTGTTGGTCCTGGAGGATCTCAGGGACACAGGGTTGCAGGCTGGCTGTCTGGCTGCTTTGCAGGTGAGTGACTCAGCGAAGATTCTTGAAATGATTTTTCCCTGTGCTTGCCTAGGCTCTGCCAACCAGGACAGAGGAAATGCATTCTGCAATGACTCAAATGAAACCCAGCTCTCATATGTTTGTAGATCCTTTTGTAAATTTCATGTCATATGCATTGAATTCTTCCACATACCTTGTTATTGTCATATAGATTCAGAATGAGTAGGGAATTAATAATATGGGAAACTGACCAAGAAAAGTGAAGTTGATCATTTCAGAAAAAATGCAACTTGAAAGGTTTTTTGTTGCTACAATCACTATAACTGAGTAATAGCAATAATAGCAATGTTATTAACAATGACAGTAACAGATGTTCCCTTTCTAAATAACAGAATTTAAAAACGTTCCTGAACTGTTGCCTTTGACCTTTCTGATAGTTCTTGTTTGCCTCTAACCCAGGTCATTTCAGTTTGCTTTCATTTGTTGTTTCAAGAACAAATTTGGTTAGTGCCAATTGTGTGCCAACTCTATTTTCTACCTAGCTCTAAGGAATTGTGTTTTATGGGCAGCCTGCTGATATGCTAACTTACAGCTTCATTGTCTTAGAAACATGCAGTGGTTTAAAAAAAAATCTTGATTTGTATCTCCCGAGATAGTTAGAAAACTTCTTTCTTCTACTAGTGTTTTGATATGTGCATAGTTATCCATGCTGGGACTAGTACCTTAATTGATGTTCACAGTTCTGAGTAACCCAGAGGTAAGGTGAAAGACATATTGGGCATATAATCCTACATTATTGTTAAACATAGTCATAGAAATGTCTGCAAATCAATACACATTATTTTAGAACAGACAGGTAAGTACAAAATATTTACACACAAAGACTGACCTCTAAGACAAAATCTTGCATTTGTTCCAAATGTTGCTACAACTATGTTTGGATCAGAACACTCTCAGACTTCCACACTGTGCAGAGTGAAATCCACAAAGGCTGGGAAGCAGTAGATGAAATCTGATGGGATATTTACATGTGCCTTCCAGCTCTTTGAAAGCAAAGTCTATAGTTTTTTGACCAGCTTGTCAGTTTGTTCTATGCAAAACTTCATGTTTTCCATGAAAAACCTAGCAGTTTATGGTGAAATCCATGTTTATTTGCAAAAATGTACCTTTGGTTTTGGTTAATAATTAGTAAAAAGTGATTAAAGGTGTTTTGACATCAGAAATGTCTTTGACTCAGGTGTTCCTTGAATTAATTTTTAAAAATCTGAATGATATCTCAACATAATTGCAAATCAGTGAAAATCAGGTAATAAAAATAAAATTCAGAATTTACCACATCAATAATTCTTCCTTAATTATTGAAATGTTGTCAGCTCTGGGATGACAGCTTCCGTAGGTGACATGTCCCTCTCCCAGTGTTTCCCCAAAGCCTGCACATCCCTATGTTGCTGCGTACAATAGCATCACGATCCACTTTCGTGTCCTTCTCACTAAACTGTGAGCATCCCAAGGAGAGGGCTCATGCTGTTCCCAGGTTACACAGGTTTAAACTGACATTATGCTACATGAGCAACAGATACTTTGGAGACAGGCAAGAGATTTTAGATCAACGATTGGGTAAATATCAGTGACTTCTCTGCTACCTAAAATGTAGAATACAGTAAAATGTATTCTCTATGAGCAAAATTGTTTACAGCCTTTTCCTGTACTCTCAAGGAACAGTGTTTGATTTTTTTTGTGTGTTTGTTTCCTACTGGTTGTTTATTGAATTCCTTGTCTTCATGGAGTGTCAGGCCTAGGATGCTGAAGCCAAACAAAAGCATGTCACTGCAAAAATTTAAAACAAAAACAGCAGAAAGACATCAAGAAGAGAGAGGGCGGGTTAGGAATGTAGGCAGAGTGTGGGTAGGGTGTGGCGTATCACCATGCTGTTGTATCTGTACTGTGAAATACATGAGATTTTTTCAACTTACATGAATAAAATAATTTTAAAAAGAAGAAAGTTAAGAAATGGAAAAATGCTCACAAAGCAGAAATATGTCATGTTTATATTTTACTGATTGTAGGTCGCCCTTTTTCAGTATTTCAAGTTGGCTTCTCATTAAAAGAAACAAGTTCGGAAAAAGTAAAATTAATCGAAATATAATATCCTAACACTTATTGTTTTTCTTTCTCCAATCACTTTTTAAAAAATTCTATCCTGGAATGAGCTGGCTTTATGTGAGAATTCATTTTTATGGCATCATATTTATGACAGAGATGAGAGTAGAAAAGAGAATGAAAACTAAAATTGGTATTTGAATACATGTTTTTTTCTCTGTTTCTTGCTGGTTTTAGGTTGATAGGATCGTTGCCATTCTAACAAAACAAAGGCCTACAATTTGGGGTTCTGGGGTTCTGGTTTACTGCCTTGCCAAGAGTCATGGGGGAGACTGCAATGAATATATCTTATCACTGAGGCTGCTCAGTAGAAATTGCTGCAGGTCACTGTGGAACATGAGCAGAGCTATAGTTCCTGGCCCTGGTGACCTCATGTGCGAGACCGTCATGATTCAGGGCTGGTGGCAGGGAAACAGATGATGTGTGCATCTCTGAGTCTGTTCTGACTTCTTTAGTTCCGGACCTCGTAGATGGGTCCTACATGCAGTTCTGTAATTATACTCCTGATCTAGAAACAGGAAACACATATCTTCTGCATAAAACGGTCCCAATTGCAGATTCACATTGCAGGAGGAAAGCCAAGAGGAAAGTTATGGCAATGGTGAAAGATTTCCCTGGAGGAACATAAGTTGGTAGCTAGGAAAGCAAAGAAAGTGAGAAAACAAATTTTGTTTTGTTTCTCAAGCCTTGCAGAATGATTAGTTGGGCATGGCATGAGGCAAAAGTTAGAGAAGCATATGACAGGAAAGCACACTTAAAGAGTCAAGAGAGAATAGCTTGGAAATGCAAAAGCAGAAAGGGTATCCATGCATGACAGGCAGAAAGGACACAAAGGAGACAAAACATAGGGAATTAAAACTTAAACTTTTATGGGGAAGAAAGACTATTTCAGGCTTTGTAAGCAGAGGAGAGGTGTTCAGGAATTGGTGGTGGGGAGAGGGAGATTGGGGCAGGGTGTGTGTGGCAACGGGACTTCCTTGCATAGGACACTCTCCCAACAGAATTCAGTCCTTCCCCAGTGCTTTATTGTTTCCTGACTTAGTGTGATGTAGGCTGGATGTAGCTCCGGTGTAACTTGAAGGGTTACAAGTGGTTTGGACGTGACTTTCAGCCTTTGACTTTCTCCTGAGAATGTTACACAAGAGTTTCAGCTAATACAGAAATAGTTTATTTAAGATGAATGATCAAATACATTTGTCTGATGATGTTAAATATATGTTCCATGTACTGTTTAATAAAATACGTGTAAGTTAGCTCTATTATTCACCTTGGAAAAATAGTTATGATTGCAGTACATTTATTTTCTAAGTTAGTGAAGGTGATATGGGTGCATCATGAAGTAGAGTGAAATTAGTAGAGAATATTAGTGTATCTAGAGTTTCAAAACATAGCTATAAAGTTGTCATACAATGTTGCCATATGTGGCATCTTTTGGAAAGCTATATAAATATCAGCAATAGTAAACAAACAAAACTCAAAGAACTGCAAATTAATTAGAAGTAGTTTTGTTAAGACATTAATAATAAGTGATGCATTAATTCAAGTTGCCTCAATATGCACACTGACAAGGCTTAGAGAATGCAAAGTTTAAGCTCTTCAGAGTACAACATAAATTTTGTTTGTGACTACAGACAACACCCTGCTCTGTATTTGACTTAGTATTTTTAGAGAAAGACAAGCATGCCATTTTGCCATTGTCATGTTAAGACTTGGTTTCCTATTCTGAAAACAAGAACAGGAATATTGATACTAAATTTGAAATTGATGGTATTCTTTTGAAAGAACTAAGTAACAGATGAGAGAG